CAATTTTTCAAATGAATTCTAGTTTAAAAAATTTCGGACAAATCTTACTTGATAAAAAAAAAAGCCCAATAACTTATTTGCATAACAAGATTGAAATACACACTTCTTATTTCCCCTAACCCCTCTGGAAACCCATGACTGCTACATGTTCCTGCTCCAGCATGTCAAAATGTCCCCTCAGCATGTGGTTTTTGAACTGTAAAAATACAATGAGACGAACCTTCCACATATCGCGGGCCGAGGTACTGTCGGTGCTTCTCCAGAGCTTTTCTGACATCGTCTTCATGCTCCACCTGGATGAAGGCCTCTCCTGACGGCCTCCCGTTCCTATCCACAGTGAGATGGATACCCTTCTCCCCATCAAGGATCCTACACTCTAAAACACGGTAAACGTACTTTATTAGTGTTTACTATCTCTCACAACCTTAATTTTTAACCATTATCATTCGTTGTATGCCGAGTCGTTTTATGGTTCTCTGTTTTTGTTATGTTAGACAATAAGGAGGACAACAGGAGTAATCATTTTATAGCACAGTGAACAATAAGGATTTTAACTTGAGACCCATGTTTATGGTATTGATACGTGATATTAGAGTTATGATCAAAATAAAGGTCCTGAAAAAAGTGTCCCCACCACTTTCTAACAAAGTGACGCCCTTGTTTGTGACAGTCGTTTTTTGACTCCTGCTCACCTGAGAAAAACTGCAGGAGGTCCTGCACCGAGCACGACCAGGGGAGCCCTCTGACCTCCATGAAGTACACCTCCTTCTTCTCCGGCTCTGGTTCCGGCTGATATGGCGCCAGCGGAGGGTATTCATCTTCCAGCGGTTGTCCTGCCTGAAAAAAATATGGAAAAGTCAGTTGCACATCATCAGCCATATGAAACCAACAGATAAACTACAATCACTTGAAGAGGTATGCTGTGGATTTATCAATCTGAAATGGACCATTCTGCATACTGAGTATAAAACGCTAGCATTTCATTTGAGTGGGGTTTATGTTGATGCAGTTTGACAAGAGTAGGACTTTGAATGCAGGAATGCTAATTCCCTGTGTAAGAGACTCACCTTGGTACAGAAGCGGTACTGGCTGGTTCTCACTGCGAGCTGCAGCGGACAGACTGCCCGGCTTGTGGATGTCCATGTCGGCTGTGAAGTGAAGCCGGACCCGGCCGACAACACGCTGCTGCTGCGTCTTGTTGTGATGCATGTCGGTAACTTTCTTACTGCGACACACCGCTGCAGTAAACACAACAGAGACTTACTGTTCTGTGACATGTTAGCAGAGCCTATCCGGGTGTCAGGTCAGGTGTTTTAGAATAAAATAAGTAGATGTAACTATCCGTTTTACGTTAGTTTCTATTTTATTTTTGACCAGCTAGATTCGCTACCGGTTTAGACTGACTCACGTGGGTTAGTGGGGTTAGTCAAGGGCATATTTTAAGGGATGGAACGGTGCTAACAAGCTGACAGTGAAATCCTTTATACTTCCGGTGAACCTTTCACAATAAACGTTGAATGACCATATCAAATAGCATTCTAATTTTGATCACCTCAAAGAGCGATTGATTTTAAACTCATATGGAGCATTTTATAAATTATCAATATCAAAAGTTACCACCAGGCTCACTGGATTATTATTTGAATTTAGAAACGTCTAAACACTAACTAGAATTATAGCACAAACGTTACAACAATGGCCATTAAAGTCAATTCATTTTAATTTGTAGGATGTATAGGAACAGCTGATCGTACACACTTCTGCAAACTTGTCAACCGTCTATTCCCTCGAGTACTTCCGGTCTCTCACTGTGCTCTTGGTAAAGTCTCCCGTATGCTGCCAACTACAGGTCAGGATGCCAAAATTCCTCATTTTGGTGGTTATTCCGGTGGTGCAGATTCTGATTAATGATGTGAAATATAAACAACCCTTAAAGCAGACTTTAGTTACACCTGAGTAAAATTCAGGGAAAGGTGATTGTCAAGTGCCAACAATCAGGAAAGATATTTGATTGTTGGTGCTTGAGAAGACTAAACATTTATCTGCAGATCTCTATAAAGTATATTCATTACTCGTTATTCTCTACTAATAGTTAATTAAAAACTGTATATAATTGCTATTTTGCATATCCCTTTCAAGATTTCCTAAGGTTTATTGACATATCATATACACAACTACAGCGTAGTTATGCAACAGTGCATTACAAGACATCTATCAATATTTGTGAATACCTCCACCATTAAACTGTCAAATTCTGCACATTTCTTATTCTATCCACATACATAAGAGTATAATTAATGTCTATAATATCAGTTAAAAATAAGTGCTTCAACATAATTAACAATGCAGGAAAGCAATATATTGGACGTTAAGTACTTTGTCAGGCTTAATATATCTATCTGTAGATAGATTCCCCCAAAGTTTTTTCTTAACCTAAAGTATTCTTAAATGTGTTAATAAAGGTTAATTAGTTTGTATGTTTTGCACATCCTCATATTAATATCTTTTTACATCCAGCACTAAACAGTTTTATTGTAGAGATCACTTACAGTATCTTCTTGATTTTTTATATTCTATATTTCTGTCATTGACCTTCTACTTTCACCCTATGAAAGTATGTACTCTTAATATTTTTTTCATCATATAACATTATTCAACAAAAATAAATCAATAACATGCTTTAACCACTAGGCGGTGCACACAAGGTACACACAGCATACTAATAATAACTTTGTATTATTAGTGTAGGACACTTATGTATGTATAACATCTGAAGAAGTGTAGTTTTATTCATGTTTTTACATAATTTTACAGGATATTGCTATACTATTTCTCATGTTTTACCACATTAACATCTGATTTGTAAAACATCACAGACAGAAAGGTATATCTGTCATTTAATGGTAAGCTATTGAAATTGTGATTCCATAGATGTGTCTCCCATCACCCAAATCCCCTGACTATTCTCTCAACTCAGTATTTACATTCTTATATTCAAAGAAAATCAGTAATATCTTTAAAAACTACAAGTCCTTTTCTATCAGCTGTGCACCGTTATGGTGTAAATATAACTTATCTACCAATTGGATCAAATATAAAAGTCAGCAAAATTACTATTGATACTGCAAGGAGATGTATTTTGTGAAAATAAATGCAAGATGTTGTTTAATTGTTGATATATTTATGATTTTTTCCGTTTTCTACACGGACCACTATTGCGGTAAGCATGTTGTAACTTCCGGTTGTTGTTGTCATCTCCGGGTATCCCGTGTGCCTGTTCTGTTGCTGATAGCTTATTATCTTAAACTTAATCGATCGTTTTAAAACTCTTGATCACGGTAACTG